ATTTTCTGGGTGCTACACTGCCAAGATATCTGTATAATAGGTTTCACAATATCTTTAGTAAAAAAAAAAAAATCCTACATCCCTGTGCCAAATTCCTTTCAAGAAATGTTTTGGTTTTAAAGAATCTGTTCTATGATATTCAGGCTTTTAGCCACCCAGAGTGGTATAATATACCAGATGGGTGGGATATAAACAAACAAACAAATAAATAAATAAATAGTCCCCGGTATCTGTCTACTTCTCTGCAATTACATGAAGTTTTAGAAGACTTTCTCACGAGCAGAGAGATGCTCAAGTAACAATGCTGAGGATCTCCTTTCAAAAGCTAAATCCAGGGGACAGTAAGGGGATCAGAAAATGAGACTTTCTGAATGCTCAAGAAAAAACAGACAGATGTATTTGTTCCGTAGCTCAAAAAGTCTTCATTTTAAAATAGCACAATGAAACCAAGCATTTTTCCCACTAAAGAGAACAGAAAAATCCAATACAGATTAAAAGACTAGAGAGAAATAAAACTTCATTGTGGCAAAGTGTACATTATATGGAAGCAAACATAATATATGTGAACAAGTTAAATGAAAAGTAGAACTGAATATTGGCAAATAAAAGTGGTGACCCAAAAAAGTTTGTTTATTTGAAATTCATGATCACGGTGATGGCATGCTGTTCTGGAAAGGTAGGAAAAGTATAATATAGGAAATATTATTATTGAATAGCAATGAATATATTATTAGATTCTTGAGCACATATGAAGATCAATCCTAATGGTGTTCTAACACAAGCAACAGCAATACTGAAAAGCATTTTGTTCCAATTCCGTCGTAAGTTACCTGTCATTCTCAATTCAGAATGTCACTTCATTTTTCTTTTCCTTGAATTGGTGAATGAAAATTTTTGGTTTTATCATTTTAAAAAGCAACTATTTGTACCTCTTCAGCTTCCCTAATCAACTTATTCCGACACTTTGGATTTCAGAATTTGTTGAGTATTACTGGCATCATTTGATTACTATAGTTTTGTGCTTTTCCCCAGCTTAAAAAGGCAAAGGATGTGGAGAGGAACGAATGCTTACGTTACATCAAAAAGGTGCTGCGAAGGCTGTTCTTTGAAAGAGATTCCATGGAAAGTATGAATTATCTGAGTCAGAATCCCTCCGATGAGGAGGACACCAGGCTGGTACCACTCATGAGGAACTGGGAGGGGATCTTTCAGGGAACAACTCATACTCTTTCCTTCTTTGCACACAGCAAAGGGACAGCAAGCCCTCCTCTGAGAAAGTGCTATAAAGGCCTTTTTTCAACTACCAAGAAGGAGAAGAATTGCAAACCTTGAACAGTATCTGAGATGAACTTTGATGGATAACTGACAGAAACGAAATCAACAGAGCACTGTCAGCCTCTTCCACCCCCAATACTCACAGCATCAATTCCACAGGAGGATTTTTATAACGTTTTTCTGACTTGCTTATTCCTTCTCTTCCAAAATACCCTTGAAATCCTCTAGTGCTTTAGTCTGGTGAACAAATTACAATCATTTTAATAATCACTAAGAGAAACAACTACGTCTCCCACATTTAGGTTCTAATAAGTTGGAGATTTGGGAATAAAACTTGGTAGATATTTTATTTTGTTTCCAAATTGGAAATGGGGATTTGTCTACATTCCACCAGGATGAAAAGTTGTAAACCTTTTGCAAATCTGACTTCCATGATAAGCAACCACCAATTAAAAGTAATTGCCTGAGATGAAATCATTGTCTTGATTTGATAGGCAAAGGGACATTGAATTCCAGTTTGAGAGAAATGGATGTTTATGTGAGTATCCTTCCGTCCATCCATTCATCTATAGATCTTCCCTATTAATACCCCTGCATGTGGAGTTCTACTGCTCTAAGAATATTTTTTTAAAACCTAGTTAGAGAAACAACAGAAAAACAAACCTTGACCAAATGTCAAAAGTGTCCACACCTTCTGTTTTTAAACAAAAGCTGACAAAAACTGCCCTTCAAAATAATGACACTTCTTCCATATTTGTCTCCCCCTTTTGCCCTCCAGCTCCCATATTTGGGTTAGTCTGGTTCCCCAAATCAGCACAAATGTGTTTCCCAACTGCTACAAGATTACCAATAAAGGGGTTTCTCTCTGCATGTCTGAATAGATTGAGGATGTGTACTTCTGTCCTGCTCCAGCCACTTGCAAATCCTCTTCCTTCACCTCTCCCTTCCCCCAATCTCCACTTTGGGTTTTTTGGGGGTTTTTTTCGGGTGGGGGAGAGAGGCATCCATTCTGGGGAAATCCAGAATGGATAAATGTCCCAAATGATGTTGTGTGACACATCTGCCAATACGTAGCACAAGCTGTGCAGCTGAGGCATTTTTCCCTCTACCAGCACAAGATGCTTCTGCTTTATTCCAAACAAACTACAATTAGAGACTGTTTGATTTTGAATGGGGTTCTCTATCTCTTCTACCAACATCAAAACCCAAACAATGAATCATAGCATCTTTAAGAGTATTACTATCATGACACATTTGCTTCAGGGTAAGCTTTTATGGATTAGATATCATTTCTTCAGACAAAAGTGTGAGGCTGTGGCCTAGGTGGTGAAGGAACTCTGCAAACCCCATTGTGATTTGGACAACTCCTCCATGTGACTTGTCCTCTTTTGTTTAGCAGGTGGGGTTTGCTGGGTTCTCAGTCCCACCTGCATCCTTCTTACTATGTTGATGTGTATACGGATGGGGACGTGGTGGCGCTGTGGGCTAAACCGCAGGAGCCTTTGTGTGCTGCAGGGTCAGAAGACCAAGCAGTCGTAAGATCGAATCCACGCGACGGAGTGAGCACCTGTCGCTTGTCCCAGCTCCTGCCAACCTAGTGGTTCGAAAGCATGCAAATGCAAGTAGATAAATAGGGACCACCTCGGTGGGAAGGTAACAGCGTTCCGTGTCTAAGTCGCACTGGCCATGTGACCACGGAAGATTGTCTTCGGACAAAGCAGTGGCTCTATGGCTTGGAAACAGGGATGAGCACTGCCCCCTAGAGTCGAACACGACTGGACAAAAATTGTCAAGGGGAACCTTTACCTTTATACGGATGGGGCCAGCTACTTGAGTGGAACAAGAGGAAGTCCACCTGAGGGCACAGAAATCTAGGGGTGAAGAAACTGAGGGATATTATGAGAACAACAACTTCTGGACCCATTCTGGACTTTTTATTCTTTTCTCCTTTTTTGGAAAACGTCCAGCAGATCCATTGCTCCTGTGAAAGCAAAGTCATCCACCTCCTGAGGTCTAAGTTCTACACATTAATTTTATAAAAGAAACAATTAAAAGTGCAACAGGAAAAGAAGAATGCAACAAGTAAATTTCATGTCAGATTTTGTACCCTCCATTTCATTCATTCATTCATTCATTCATTCATTCATTCATTCATTCATTCATTCATTCATTCATTCATTCATTTTCTATAATCCCTCACTTAGTGACACAATTACTGTGGTGATATATCCTTGAAACGTTTGTTCATAAAGTTATAGTTTCAATATATTCCTAAAAATTATAAAGGACAGAGCCTTTATAATAATGGAATAATGACAGGAGGCAAAGATATGGATTAAATATGGGCCACTTTATTGATAACATCAAAATACGATAATGGCAATCCTTTGCCAAAAGAGGGGCCCTGCTGTAGTGCGGAAACAGGTGAAAGGCAGGGGTATACTGACACCCCTTAATCAATAAATGGGCGAGTCCCCAGCCCCAAGTTCCCATGGTCTCCAGATAGCAGGAACCCGGCCAGCGGCTAATAAAACCCCCCCAGACCTCAAGCCATTTTTCACTGATGACTGTTGGTCCAGAAGTGGCCCAGCGCATCCTCCCGCCACAGACACTGTAATCGCATGATCCGCAGTTCTGGGAAGCAAGATGCGCTGTTGGCTTAACTGAGATTACAATTGGGACACACTGAAAATATCAGTTATTTCCGCACTACCCGACTGTGTGACCAAAATTAAACCACGAAAATGCCAATAACCCTTATCAGGTGTGGGATAGGCAACAAAAAAAATCCCCCCATCCATAAGCCAATCAGGATGGAGGTCAAAAATTCCTATCCGGCCCCTGAAAGGCAACCAGACAAACTCACACTAGAAAAAAGGGAGGGCGGGTGGGAGCACGAAAAAGGGAAGAGGGCAGTGCAAGGGGGAAAGCCTTTTGCGTACCCAGGGCTTTCCCGCCTCTCACACAACATCTCGTGAGACTTAAATGCAGTCTCGCTCTATCCCGGGTGGATAGCAAGGGTCGATTGCTTCGGCCAAAGGCAATGCCTTGCCAGCAATCACAGCATTGATAACCCAGATGGAAATTTATTCAACAGAGCAGGAGGGCCGACACTGAGAAGGCCCAATTTCTTCCTGTCATCTTTTTAACTTCACTTTTTCATCACATTCATTGTTGTGGTTTGGGAGGAGCATGTAAATTGCAAGCTGTATTCTGGGGGGAGGTGTTGTGACAACTACTGAGGTCCTGAATCTTTTTTGGGCTTTATAGGTCAGCACCATGGGAAATCCTCCTCATCATCTTCTTCTTTGAATTGCAGAGCTTTAAGGCACCCTGTATATCATCAAGCAAGCCCTTGTTAAAGAGGCGCATTAGAGAATTGAACACCTCACCTCTGGTCTGTTCTTTGCACCAGAGGGCAAAAAGTGTAAGCAGAGAAAATGGATCTTTATCTTTTCTGGACTAAGTATGAAACTGGCCCCTGTCCAGTACATTATCATGGCTGGGCAATGCTCAAGGACTCAAACTGCATTTTCAGTGAATAAAGCAAAGGAGAGAGAGACCTGCCTCTCACAATTATAATGGTGGCAACACGCCCTAAAACTCCCAGAGACTTCACATGGTGGTTTCATAACCTAGTAAGAACTAGTGAGAGTGAGGAACCCTAGATCTAGTATATCATTTCCTTGGGAAGTAGGTTTTTATGCTAGAATTTTTTTTTCATTTCATTCTTTTTTCCACCTTCTAAGCTGCTCCTTGGTGTTTAACTCAGGCCTCAAGAGAATAATGTAAACCTTGGGAGCAAAGATGCAAATCAAGAGACCCGCACTGGAAGCTAAGATAGAGAAGATCTCCACAGCAACCATGTACTTCCCCTTGGTGCTCAAATAGGAGGGAACAAAGGACACCCAAACACTGCAGAAGACCACCATACTGAAGGTGATGAACTTGGCCTCGTTAAAACTGTCTGGCAACTTTCTTGCCAAGAAAGCCAACGTGAAGCACACAAGGGACAAAAAGCCCATATAGCTCAGGACAAGATAAAACATGACAAGGGAGCCTCCATTACATTCTTCTATAATCTCTTCACCCAATGATTGCATGTCAAATGCTGCGAATGGGGGTGATGTTCCTAACCACACAGAACAAATTCCTGCTTGACCTAAAGACCAGGAGAGCACAATGCAGTCTGCTGTCCTTCTTCCCAGCCATTTCTTCATGTTGGATCCTGGTTTGGTGGCCATGAAAGCCACAACCACGGTGATGGTTTTGGCCAACACACAAGATATGGCCACAGAAAAGATGATGCCAAAGGCCGGTTGTTGGAGGAGGCAGCTCAACTTTCCAGGTCGTCCAACAAAGAGCAAAGACGAGAGGAAGCAGAAGAGGAGAGAGATGAGGAGAGTGTAGGTGAGGTCCCGATTGTTGGCTTTGACAATGGGGGTGTCTTTGTGCTTCATGAGAAGTCCTAAGACCCAGACTGTGATCAGGGAAAAAGAGAGAGCAACCAAGGCTAAACTCCACCCTAAAGGATCTTCATATGACAAAAAGATGACACGTTTGGGCTGGCATCCATTATTGTTCTCTTTTGGATACTCGTCTTCTGGACATTTGAAACAGTCATCCATGTCTGAAAAACATAAATAGAAGTAAAGATCATTGAGAATAAAGATAATGTAAAATAAAATGGGCAGGCAATGGAAGACAGGAAGACCTGGCGTGCTCTGGTCCATGGGGTCACGAAGCGTCGGACACAACTTAACAGCTAAACAACAACAATATAATATGACATTGAAATATTCAAGTGTGAGATGATCCCTCTCACAGTGCTGTTTATCTTCCCAAGGACATATGCCTACTTTATTCAAATAAGCTAATGTTAATAATTTAAATATTTTAGCAACTTTGAAATTCCCTAATTTATAATATCCCTGATTTTTTAGAATCCCATTGCTAAGTTTTGATAAATTTGTGTAATTCAGTTGATTCAGTAAGGCTGTCTTAAAGCTAATCTATAGGGCACGCCTACTAATCCACTAAAGACTACTGTCATGTAGGGATGTCATCCATAAAGGTCTTAGGATGACCCTGAGTCCGTGAGGGATTTTGTTCTACTCTGCATCTCCTGTTGTGGAGGAAGTCGTGCTTAAGGAGGAAAGAAGCCCAAACCTCCTTCCTCTGATTGCATTAACTAAAGGAAAGGATTTCCCAGCTATACCCCTGACGTTATTAGAAATACGAAAAAACACTGGTCCATGAGTTCTTCTAAAGCAGACGAGTATAATACTCTCTATGTGGGGCCGCAGCTGAAAGCTGTATGGATACTTCAGTGCGTCCAGAGTGTGGCAGCCAAATGCCAGCACATATGAACATATATATCTCCAGTCTTGGCATGCCTTCATTGGCATGTCTCCCGTTAATGACTGTGCTGAATTTAAAGTGTTGAGTATGAATTGCTATGAAGTTCTATCTCTCAGCTGGGAGGCTCACTCACCTCCATCAGCACACCCTTGCCAGTGGCAGGTGAGATAGGGAAGACCAAGACAATGAATGGAACTCCTGCAACTCGGGAGCAAAGTTCTAATGATTTCTACCCCTCTCCTTTCCCCCAGAGAACCTTTGAAGACCTGAGGCTAGGGTGGGGAAAAGAGGGGTTTTGAATCACCCTAAATCACTGCTGAGTTGCTGCTGATGGTCCAGATGTACATGTTGTGGTGGTATTGCAAGGACTGCTCGCTCCCTGAGTTCATTGAACAATTGCATAAATCACCTGAGGATTATATCATCCAGTTTTCACTGTGTAAAGATGTAGAAGAAGATATGGTTTTCTGACTGCATCAGTAGTTGTTGAAGAGTTTTATAGTAACATAAAAAACATGAGAACTCTTATTTTCTTAATTTTTTCAACTGACCTAAAAAACCTAAATTATCTTTATATGACAGATTAAATTAAATGAAAAGAAAACTGGAACACCTACCTGTCTGGTTTGAAATCCTTCCTGCTGGGCATAGAACACAATCATAACAACAAAACTTTTCACCTTCCTTACTTTTCTTCTGAAAGCCAGGATGGCAGTACTCATTGCAAACCGAAATGGGAACCACCTGTTCATAAAAAGAACACAGTTGAGAAGGGTCATCACAAAGAGATCTGGAATAGTCCTCTTAGCCAAATAACCCTACAGAACCAGGTTGGCCAACTGGGGTCTTTTGAATCAATCTTCTCGGGATCCCTTCATAAATCACCAAGACTCAAGACATGCATAATAAATGTTCAGTTCTACAGGGGAAGAAAAGGTAAAAATACTCATATTTTAAATTGGGAACAGGTATATATGGGAAGTCAATACTTAATCTAGTTTTAGATATTCATAGAATAGTGAAGTTGGAAGGGTCCTATAAGGCCATCAAGTACAACCCTTTGTTTGATGCAAGAATACAAATCAAAGGATATCTGCCAGGTGCTTACAACTAGCTATTAGTAGCAGTATTATCAAGGATAGAAGCAAAAGCATCAAAGGAATTAAAGATACGGCAAACATTTTGTTATCACTTTGACAGGGATTTCCTTGTTACATCTGAAGGACCGCCTCCTTCCATATGGACCTACCTGGCAGTTAATATCTAGCCATGGGACCCTTTTGAAAGAGCCGTCCCTTAAGGAGGTAAGAGGGACGGCTTGTAGAAAAAGGGCCTTTTCGGCAGCCGCCCCCAGACTGTGGAACGCCCTCCCGATTGAGATTCGTCCGGCACCGACGCTGATGACATTTTGGCACCAAGTCAAAACCTTCCTGTCCCAGATGGCTTTTAATTGAAATAATATCAACTATGGGTCCTGATGGCAATTTTTAGAGTATATGTTTTATTTGTTTTAACTTTTTTATTATATTTTAATTGTTGTAAGCCACCCAGAGACCTTTGCGTAGTGTGGGCTGCGTATAAGTTAAATAAATAAATAAATAAATAAATAAATAAATAAATAAATAAATAAATAAATAAATAAAAGTTCTGCTCTTTGGATTTTTTTTTTTCAGAAATTTCCTGATCTCCTGCTCTGGTACCTTATTCATCCTTGTTCTGAGATTATGAAAAATGGCTTTATTTTAAATCCAGCATCTATCTGTGGCTACACTCTGCTTTACTTTGAAATCAAGCCTTCTAGTAGAATATGCTCATTCTTGCCCAAAGTTCCCCTTATTGCCAATTCCTCCACTATGTCATCTCTATTGGTTAGAATCAAGTCAAGAATACGGTAGATATTTCTCTAGTTTCTTCCTGTAATTTTAATAGGAGAAAAGTGTCAGCCACACAAGCCAGGAATTTCTCGAAATGACCATCCTTGGCTGAATTTGCCTTCCAACATATATCTGGATAAATAAGATCTCCCATCAGTATGACCTTGTATCTCTTTGAAACTCTTGTAATTTGTTTTTCAAAGGTTTCAACCTCTTCCTCTCCCAGATTTGGTGGCTTGTATTATTTCTATGAAGTCATATTTGCCCTCCTGAAATAAAATTTCCACTTCTTTGTTTCCCATACTCCCGGCCTTCATATATAGACACCAGAGATGGTGTGATTTGCGGCCTGTTTATACATTTATGTGAATATTACTATTAATGTTAATGTTATTATTTACCAACATTTAAACAAATTAATCTATCCCTCTTATTGTGAGTAAGGGGTCATTTATCTTTAATTCTGTGCTTGCATCTTCTTCCCGCATCCAATTCAGCTTAAGGCCTTCCTGATAAAAGTTTTCATGCTATGGCCAGATATATTCTTCCCAATCCTTGTTTAATACAAGCCATCTCTTGGTATCAGTCCTACTTCTAGTAAGTTTAGCTCATGGTTCAGAAATCTTTGTCTTTATTTTACAGGCAAACACACCATGTTGAAGAGATCTGAAGGGAAAATAACCTTCATTCACCAACATGACCTCCTTAGGGAAGGACCCCTCCATAATCCATACCTCATTAAAGCCTCGGTGCCACACAATTCTATCCCAATCAATCACGACATCTTCTCCTTCAGGAGCACCGGGAATCACCCTTCCAATTTTCACTTGATGGAAAGAGGTATTGGGGTATATGACCACGTTCATGATGTCAAATCCACCCCCTATTTCCCTTTTCTCATTAAAAGACACTGATTCTCCCTCCGTGTTGTTAAATGACAACCTTTGCAGGAATGTGTGAAGCTAGTTGAAAAAGGAAAGAGAACAAATGAGATTAAGGGACAAGAGAGACTGAAGCAAGGAGAGACAGCAAAACATTTTCTAGACATATGTAGTCAACATCCAATTGAATATTTACAGGAACCTGAATTTCCACCTGAGTAAGTTAGCTCAAATATTTGACAAGATACCAGTCAAGTTTTTCTGGCACATCAGCAACACCTCATCAGATTAGCACAACAGCTTTTTCTGTTGGGATGCGTACATTAATCTAGAACAGTGGTTCTTAACCTTTGTTACTCGGATGCTTTTGAACTGCAACTC